TCTGCTTACCAAAAATGGCCCACTAGGCACTCATACATCCAAATGGTCGGCTTCAATCAAGAAAGTCAACCATCTCACCCATTTAAAGTTTGAGAATAGGTTGAGGTCGTTTCAACCCCAAGACCTCTAATCATTAGCTTTACCGGATGAGACTGAGTCAAAAGCGCCTGCTATCCTGAGGGAAACTTCGGAGGAACCAGCTACTAGATGGTTCGATTAGTCTTTCGCCCTATACCCAGGTCTGACGATCGATTTGCACGTCAGAATCGCTACAGACACCTCCACCAGAGTTTCCTCTGGCTTCGTCTTGCCCAGGCATAGTTCACCATCTTTCGGGTACCATCGTATACGCTCCAGCTTCGCCTGATTGCCAATAAACAAAGTAGGCGAGCCGCTACTGCGACCGAAATCTCGTAGCTTTACTTTCATTTCGCCTCTCTGGCCTGTACAAGACCGAGCGACTTGCGTATATGATAGGCTCCTTGGTCCGTGTTTCAAGACGGGTCAAATGGAAACCGACCTACTCGCGCCACAGTTCTACACCACGCAATGCAAGCAACAACTAATTGACATTGTTGAAACGGCTTTTCGCATCCAAAGACACGTAAAGACCGGCCTCGAAACATCAATTAGCAATCACAGGCAAACGTAGTTTATATACTCCCGAAGGAGAACTTTTATCAATCAGTTCATTAGGCGACGGTTCCGGCCAGAGACTATAACGCCGTCAAATCAAAGACTTGACGGGCACCTTTCTCCAGCCCAATCTTACGGCCGTCCCAATCATCTGATCGAACGTGGCTTAGCATCCTCGGCACGAAATGCACCAAAGCTTGTGGCCGAAAAAACAAAGGAACAATCTCCGAAAAGATCCATTTCCATCGTCGTTGGCTGCAAGCGTTGATTGAATCGACCGAAGCGCAAACTTCGTGGTTCCATCTGTTTGCCTTCCAGTGGTTTCACGTACTGTTTAACTCTCTCTTCAAAGTGCTTTGCAACTTTCCCTCACGGTACTTGTTTGCTATCGGTCTCGCTGTCATATTTAGTCTTGGATGGAGTCTACCACCGACTTTAAGCTGCACTCTCAAGCAACCTGACTCTAGAATGCATCGGTTTGCATGAATCAGTCGTTCGTCTCTATGGGCCTAGCACCCGCTCTGGATGTCCCTGTCAAAGGAACTTGAAACATACGACAATTCATGATGCACCAACACATTAACGCCGCATCTCTTGAACGCCTAAACGTCAAGACTTGGCGCTGGACTTTTCCCCTTCGCTCGCCGTTACTCAGGGAATCCCATTTGGTTTCTTTCCTCCGCTTCTTAGTTATATGCTTAAATTCAGCGGGTAGTCTCGCTTGATCTGAGGTCGAATATAGACAATTGAAATTTGAATATTGATCCATGATGGTAATCATACATGGCACACATTCTGGGTTGTTTAGCTGGAAACGCTAAATACCCTTTCTAGTGATGAATGTGCTACAAAGCCATCAAATAATCACCAAAGGAGTCAGCATTCGAAATGTTTAGAAATAATCTCACGACACCGAAATGAATCGCGACGATACAGATTTATTTCATTTTGGTTTGTCAAATTTCGATAACGACGCTCAGACAAACGAAGCCATCGGATATCCAATGGCTGCAATGTGCGTTCGAATGTCGAGTGATCAGAGTGTCCTGCATTTCACACCGATTAACGTAGCTAGCTACGTTCTTCCTCGACCAGCGAGCCGAGTGATCCACCACTGGCAGTAGTAATTTTTTTTTTTTTGCGATTCATTTGCAGAATCACAATTCAATTGTTTCAATGATACTGGCTCAATGTTGTTTTGAAATGAAAAAGAAAATGCCTTGTATCTGTGGCTCCAGCAATCGAATTATGCTCGAATCTGGTATTTAAACCTAGCGGCACTCATTACAAGCGACACACTACATCCACGTTCATCCCGAGGATAAACAGGAACCGTAGAATAGGCACCAACAGATAGCAAGGAGAATCGCCGACAAAGTTGTACACCGGCAAGTGTCAAGTTCCATTATTATGAAGCCTAACTAATGCTTTTTTCCATGTTACCCAGATATAATAAAAGCCAAGTTTCAACTTCAGAACTTTCAATGACACCACCGATCGCAACACAAGTCAGTCGATCCGTTTGTGATAACGGGCAACACATCGTTCGAATTGAGAATCAAGTGTTTCATTGTTCAAAAAAACACCGATAATGATCCTTCCGCAGGTTCACCTACGGAAACCTTGTTACGACTTTTACTTCCTCTAGATGTTCAAGTTTGGTCATCTTTCCGGCCGAACATGGCCACCACGAGGATGGCTGCTGTTGGCCTGTCCGAAGACCTCACTAAAACATCCAATCGGTAGTAGCGACGGGCGGTGTGTACAAAGGGCAGGGACGTAATCAACACAAGCTGATGACTTGTGCTTACTGGGAATTCCTCGTTCATGGACAACAATTACAATCCCCAATCCCAATCACGAAAAAGTTTCACTCGGTTTCCCGCTTCTTTCGAAGTAGGTAGACACATGCACGCTGATTTTTTCAGTGTAGCGCGCGTGCGGCCCCGGACATCTAAGGGCATCACAGACCTGTTATTGCTCTTTTTCATACGGCTGAAACGCCGTTTGTCCCTCTAAGAAGCGTTCGAACAACACAACGGGTGTTCAACACTATTTAGTAGGCTAGAGTCTCGTTCGTTATCGGAATTAACCAGACAAATCGCTCCACCAACTAAGAACGGCCATGCACCACCACCCACTGAATCAAGAAAGAGCTCTTAATCTGTCAATCCTTCCAGTGTCCGGACCGGGTGAGTTTTCCGTGTTGAGTCAATTAAGCCGCAGGCTCCACTCCTGGTGGTGCCCTTCCGTCAATTCCTTTAAGTTTCAGCTTTGCAACCATACTTTCCCTGGAACCGAAAAACTTTGGTTTCGGAAGCCGCCAGCCGAGTCATACAATAAACTCTGGCTGATTGCTGGTTGGCATCGTTTATGGTTAGAACTAGGGCGGTATCTGATCGCCTTCGAACCTCTAACTTTCGTTCTTGATTAATGAAAACGTTCTTGACAAATGCTTTCGCTTTAGTTAGTCATGCGGCGGTCCAAGAATTTCACCCCTATCGCCGCAGTACTAATGTCCCCGTCCGTCCCTCTTAATCATTACCTCGATTCCGAAGACCAACAGAACAGAACCAAGGTCCTATTCCATTATTCCATGCAACAGTATTCAGGCGATTGATGCCTGCTTTGAGCACTCTAATTTTTCAAAGTAAACGTATCGATCGCCCACGACACTCAATGAAGAATACCGTGGGACAATGCGATATTCTGCTCAGCATGACAGTAACCACCGTCAAGTGGACCACCATGCATGAGCTGAGATCCAACTACGAGCTTTTTAACCACAACAACTTTAATATACGCTATTGGAGCTGGAATTACCGCGGCTGCTGGCACCAGACTTGCCCTCCAATTGATCCTCGTTAAAGGATTTAAACTGTACTCATTCCAATTACGAGAACGCATAAGCGAAGCCCGTATTGTTATTTTCGTCACTACCTCCTCGTTCTGAGAGTGGGTAATTTGCGCGCCTGCTGCCTTCCTTGGATGTGGTAGCCGTCTCTCAGGCTCCCTCTCCGGAATCGAACCCTGATTCCCCGTTACCTGTTACAACCATGGTAGGCACATAACCTACCATCGAAAGTTGATAAGGCAGACACTCGAAGGATATGCCGCCGGCACGAGGCCATGCGGTCAGCTGCAGTTATCCAGAGTCACCACCGTAAGGTGTTGCCACCTTTGGTCTTGGTCTAATAAATGCACTCCACCACGAGGATGAAGCTTTTCGGCATGTATTAGCTCTAGAATTACCCACAGTTATCCATGTAATTGGTCAACATCCAATGAATCATAACTGATTTAATGAGCCATTCGCGGTTTCACCTTAATACGGTATGTACTTAGACATGCATGGCTTAATCTTTGAGACAAGCATATGACTACTGGCAGGATCAACCAGGTAGCAGCAAATGTTAGTAGACTTGCTTCATATTCCAGCATAATTGTTGGTGACAATCAACCAGATAATATTCAGCTGTCAAACATTGCTTGTGTTGTTGCAATAACAACACGACATGACGATTGCTTCGCACATCACTGTTTAGGTGGAAAGCTTAGCACACATCGATCATGCCACAAATCGTACAAAGTACGATCAAAACCCGTAATAATCTTTCGATTTCAGGCATTTTCGTCAATCTTCTTCAGCTTGTTGCAATGAACGACTGGCTGTTCCACTATTTTATCCGTACATTTAAGCACGAAAAGCGAAAACAAAGCCAAGTTCTGGATCCATCCAAAACGACCACGTAACCACGAATCCGATATGAGACCATTGAGCAGCTCCAAGTTGACGGGAATCTTCAGCAGTTGAGCATTTCAGTCCATACCTTAAAGATTAAGGGGAGACCCAGAAATGCGGCGCTGATTTGAGATCTAATACCATATTAATGCCATTAGAATATGGGATCAGAACCTCAAACGCCAAGACTCCAGCAGCGAAAAACCGAAGCTTCTCGCTCAAGCCCTACGCATTGAAGCGTTAACCATTTGAATGTGAGAGACACCACGATTCTCCGGTTAAGCGGTACTACTGGATAAGGCAAGCGTCAAATTGGAGAAAGCCGCTTTGCCGAAGCCTGAAAACTCAAATTGTAACTGCAGCACTGACACAGCGCTAACAAGTTACAAATCCTCGCTTGTGTATCAACTTTGTCAAATCGTTTGATTTCTTTCGAACGATCGTCCGCCACAAATATATCAAACCTTGACCATCATTCATAGTATAAGTAAATGAGCATTGCATCAACACGGCAGAAACTGCAGGATATTGGTAGTATATATTTATTCGTAAAAAGGATTGAGAGAAGCAGCAAAATCAATGATACGAGAAAGATACAC